GGGACARTTTCATRCTGGRATCCCCTGAGCCCAGCCCAGCCYAGCCACGGTCCCTGGGATCCTTTCACAATCTGTAATGATCCAGGGACCATTTCCACGTGAGCACCAGGTATCATCTTTTGGTGGGTGATACCCTGGGGCAGAGGGTGGAGCCTCCCTGGAGCATCCTGGGCTCCAGAGGGGTGGGTGCTCCAGGCTCCCTGCCAGAGCCTGGCAGCATCTTGTGGGGCTCAAGTCCTCTCGGCCTGCCAGAGCCCCTTAGCTGGGTGCAGGATGCTGCTCTCGGGAGGGAGGTGACCCTAGCTTTGCCACGGTGACATCTCCATCTGCGCCYTGGCACCGGYGGCTGGAGCGGAGYGAAGGGGACAGCTGGGAAATAAGCGATGGCGAGCGGGGAAGGCGAGGAATGACGGAAGGGAACGGGRCAAGGAAGGGAGCAAAGAGTGGGGAGAAAGGGAGCTCTGAGCCTCACCGGGGCTCATTAAAGTTTGAAAGAACAGAAACCCTGGTTTGCGTGGAGGGGACCGGCTATTTTTAGCCGTGGGTAGGATGTCAGCTCTGAAAATAGCCTGCTAYCAGATCCTAATGAAATCCTCTCTTTGGCTCTCACCCGGAGCGAGTTTGGAGGGGGAGGATCGCTGTCACACCCGCAGCCGAGGAGCTCCTGACATTCACAATGACTCGCCTGGTTTTTTCTTATTTATTTATTTAATTTTTTTTCCTTCCCCCTCCGGTTTCTCCTATTCTTCGCCGGCTCTGCCTTACGCCGAGCAGAGGAGTCACCAGCCAAAAAAGTGACTGCGGGGGCGGTGCTGCTTAGCTACGGCCAAATCTCAGCAGCATGTGACCGGCTTGGCAATTTAATACGGAGCCCTGCTCCCCGGCACACGCGCGCTCGAGTTAAAGTGACATTGAAACGGGGACTCCAAGTGCTGAAGGCACAGAAACCGGGGGAAGCTGCCTCCCCCAGCCCACCCCATCCGTCCCTGGGGAGGGGGGCTTGCTCCAGGGGGTGTAGGAGCGGGAAGGGYGGTGCCCAGGTAAGGGAGGATGCTCGGGACAGGTGGGTGAGCCTGGGAGGGAGTGAGGGTTAGGATGTCGGGGAGATCTGAGCAGCCTGGAGCATCAGCAGGAAGGATCCCTGGAGTGTATGGGATACCTGGTGTACATGGGATACCTAATATATATGTGATGTCTGGTGTACATGGTGATGTCTGGTACATGTGGGATACCTGGGACCTGTAGAGGAACTCAGTCTGAGATCACTGGAAATCTGAAGAAGCCTTGGAACAGTGGGAAAGATAAGGGAGCACCGGAGGAGCATCACAGGGAGCACAGGGCAGAGACTCAGGGAACAGAGAGGGCCCTGAGGGCCTGGGGACAGAAATGACACTATGGGAGCACCACGTCCCCACCAAGGCAGGGGTGAAGGTCCACAGAGGCACAGGTCGGGKGACAAACATGTCTTGAAGAGGCAGGGTGTAACTTGACAGCGTTCCAAGGGCTTTTTGGGGACATTCAGGGTCTGGAGAGTGTAAGCCCTTTGTCACCTGATTCCCCAGTGCCAGTGGGTTTTGGGTGGAATCCAGCTCCACAAAAATCCCCAGACACTTTCAGGGCACTAGAGGAGGGAGTTACAATTTCTCAGCATGGAAGTGTTTGTATTGCCSATCCCTGGATATCTCAGTGTCTCTTCCCCACCCTGCCTGGGCTCCCCAAGGGGTCTCACCTTTGGAGCCAGCACTGTTCAAGTCACATCTGGTTCCTCTGGTGGAAGGGGATGTGGCTTTGAGGAGGGACCTCATCAGGACAAACATGTTCTGGAGAAGAAGAGCTGCTGTGAAAGTGTGGGCAGCCCATGGATCATGGAATCATGGAATGATTTGGGTTGGACGGCACATTAAAAATCCTCTCRATCCCCTGCAGGGACACCTTCCACTGTCCCAGGCTGCTCCCAGCCCCAATGTCCAGCCTGGCCTTGGRCACTKCCAGGGATCCAGGGGCAGCCACAGCTTCTCTGGGCACCCTGTGCCAGGGCCTCTCCACYGTGATGGTGACAATGCACAGGGACAGGCAACACTCGGTGCTCACTGCACACAGCGGGACGAGGGAAATGGTGACACGGGAAATAGTGACATGGGAAATGGTGGCCCCTGTCCTGCTGTTCCCCTGGGGCCGGGGCGAGGTGCTGGATCCCTGCTCACCCCGGGCTCTGGAGAGCCCCTGGAGACGCCGCTCCTGCTCGGCGCGGGGCCGGAACCATCTGCATCAATGAGTCAGCAGGACCCACTTAACACTTCCCCAGCAGGATCTGCTCCTCTCTCCCCGCAGAATGGGCAGCTCTGGCAGCGTGTTACAATCTCAGCTCATTAAGGGACGCATCCTGAGCGCTTTATTGATGTTTTATGCTGCCTGGCTCCATCTTCAGAGGGAAACTCTCATTGCAGTCAATGACTACACCTCCGGGTGCTGCAGGCTGAGCTCGGAGCTCCGGATCCAGCTCCGGGAGAGGCAGACTCAGCTCCCATGGCTACACYGCAAACCGTGGGCTTTGACCCCAAAGCAGGCAAGAAACAGCTCAGGGCCAGCGTCCCTGTTTTCTTTCCAGGGACTAGGGAGCACTCAAAAGGAAAACACAAGGAAGAGGTTGGTTTTTCCCTCACTTATCTGTCCTTCTGTGAGAAGGAGCTGCATGACAGGGAAGGGAAATGATGTTTCCTCTCCCCCAGCGCTGCCGTCTGTTCAGCTGAAGCCCATCTGGGTGGGTGTACCTGGCCTCCTCCTCTCCCAGCTGGGAGCCACATGTCCCCCACCTCAGGAGAGTCRCAGTCCTTTAATAAGTTCCCTAGTGCTGGCTGTTGCTTCTGAAAAGCTCATGGCACTGTCTGGCTTCAAGTGGCTTTTACATAATACAGACTGTCAGGCTAGATGAGCATCATGGTCCCTTCTGGCCCTAAAATCTGTGAATCTCCAAATTAGAGGGCACCAGCACCTCCTTGTTTCTGGCTGATTGAATCAGGGGAATCGCATGTTCTCTTTCTCCTCTCTCTTTTTTTTCCTCCCTCCCTTGCATCGTCTTTAACTGGAGGTGAATTACCCTCCCCCTGAGCCCGAGCTTGGCAAACAGCAGCAGGAGAGATCAGGCAGCTTCAGCCTTGCTCTGGGATGTCCTGCTGTCCTGCCCACTGCAGGGCTGATTCCCAGGGGTGAATTGTCCGACTATGGCCACAGGCAGGGCTGGAGCTGGTCAGGCTCAGAGGAGGCTGGAAAATCCCTGTGGAAAATGGTGCCAAGCTCTCCTGATTGTTTCAAAATCTCAGCTAAGTTTTCCAGGCTCCAGGCTAAGCTCCTTCGGATTTGTGACCAAGGTGTGGATGTAGAGACACTTTTTGGGAAGGAAAAGGAAAGTGAGTGATGTCCCATGTTTCTGGGGCTGCTGGAAATGTGCAGGGGGAATGGGAAGAGTAAAGAGGGGAGGAATTGCTGATGATCTGTGATCATCAGCAAATGCAGGGATATGCAACAGGAGCTGGGGCCCTGCTGAGCAGGCTCAGCTGGAGCTGGGAACCCCGGGATGTCCATCTTGGTGTTGGAGTCGCYGTGCTCTCAGCTGCCCAGGCAGGAYGTGCACCGACAGCCTCAAATGTAAATGGGACACCCAGGGGCTGCTTCTCCCCATCCCTCTGGGCAGGACCCCAGGGCTCAAAGGTGGTGGATTTTCACTGGGATGAGTGGAACCAATCCCAAAGGTGAGCTGAGGAGCTGGGGTGGGCTGCAGGCCCGGGCTGAGCAGAACATGGGGCACAGCATGAGCTGTGGGAGGGGTGCTCCATCCCTATCCCCACACACCCAACACGGGCAGAGATGACAAGAAACCTACACGAGCCTCACACCTTCCTCTGGCACAGCTCATCGGGGGAGCCAYATCCCTCTCCCGACAGCCAAAACCCCTCTGAACCGGGGCTGGAGGAGGCGGAGAGGGGGGGTCGGGTCCTCCCAGACCCTTCCTTTGGGGGAGGCTCTGAACTTCCCTGCTTCACAAACGCACTCGGGCTCCCAGCCCTCCTCTTGAGCGACGCTGTGGTCAATAACTCACCGGGAGGCTTCTGTTCTCGCTGCGCTTCCCACCCTCCCACTCCTCCCGGGAGCTGTGCATTCATGCCTTTTTGGCCCTCCCTCGGCAGCGAGCGAGGAATAAAGCGGCGCCGGCTGAGCACGACGCAGGCTGCGCTGGGATGCTGTAAGCCAGCGAGGGAAGCCTGAATCACTGGCACCTCAAGGTGGGAGTGAGAGATTTGGGCTGGGACAAAGGGAGGACATCACACGTGCTCCCAGGAGTCAGGTGCTCGCGGCCAGCTGGCTGGGAATTGGGCAGCTTGGATCCTTCCTGTGCCTTTAAAGACGGAGCTGAGAGCGATGGGGAGAAGAGGAGGGGCCGGTAGGAGCACAGAGGGATTCAGCCCGAAAGCTCTGAGTTGGAGCCGAGGCTGAGGGATGCTGTCAGGGACTCGTTCTTTCTTGGAGAAACTCCTGGAGGAGCATCCCTGGTGGGAACCCACGGAGATGGAGAAATGCTCAGCCTAGAAATGCCTAAAATTAAGCTAAAAAGGCTCAGCTGGGCACTGTGCCGGAGAGTGGAGTCACTGGCCCCAGCTGGGGAGGATTCCAGTCCTTCTGCTGGCATCAGCTGGGAGGGGACCCCTGAGGTTCGTGGGATCATCCTGATTTGTTCCCATCTGTCACAGCTGGATTTATCACCCTTACTGCAGGTCCTTCTCCCCTCTGTCCCCATCCTGCTCTCTCACACTCAGACTGTATGTTTGCCACCGAGCCTGGGGACCTGCCCACCCCGAGGGGGTCCTGTGCTGCTGGGGATGTAGCTGGGGTTGCTGAGGGCTCGATGGCTTCAGCTTCGCATGTCTGAGGCAGGTTCTGAGCCCTCCTCGAGCTGGGGATGTCACTTTGCTCATCTGGTGAACACTCCCAGAAAGGATGGGTGACCAGTCTGGAAGTCTTGAGAGGAATGGAGACAGGGTGGGGTCTCTGGTGGGTTCACTGGTGACGTCCAGTGTCATCAGGGTGGCCTTGTGTCTTTGGTTCTGTGAAACCAGGTCCAATTTACGTATAAATGGGTTGAGGAGTGTCACAAGGATCCCTGGTGCTCCTAAGCCACGGTCAGAGAGAGAAGCAAGGAGGGAGCATGCAGCGACTTGGGAAAACCTCTGGGATGGAAGATCCAGGCCCTGCTTGGACCTTGAGGCCAAGCTTTTAGTTTCTGGGAGAGTGGGATGTGCGTGGGCCAGTTCTGTGGGTCGCAGTGTAGAAAAGCCGCTTTCCAGTCACTCTGCCTGAGCATCTCCTACAGGAGCTAATTCGGGCGTGGGTCTGGACTTTTTGGAAATATCGGGGGTGGATGGCATCTGGGCTGTCCCTGGTGCCTCCTGGGAAGAGGTGAGCGGGGGGAAGGTTGGACTCGATGACCTTAGCGGTCTTTTCCCACCTTCTCCGTGATTCTGTGAGGTGACTGTGCCCGTTTCATAGCGATTTACAGATCAAACCCAAGCGACAGACACCGAGAGCCGCTCCGGCCAAAGCCGAGCTGCCCGCGGTGTCGCACTGACCCCAACCCGTCCCGTGCCGCTGCTGTGTGTCCCCGAAGGGGGCTGTCTCGGTGAGGAACACCGGCCCGAGGGGCGGGAGGGCCACCCCGGGGGGCGCAGGGAGGGCCGCGGAGCCCGGACCAGACGGAAACATTTGAACAGCGGCTGAGCATCCCGCGGCGGGGCTGGGCGGCAGCGGCGCCTGGGGAGCGCTGCGGGGCTCTGCGGGGCCGCTAATGGGCCGAGTCCATTTCAGCGGGATGACGCCACTTGGGTAAAGCGTTAAGAGCTCCGGGAAGGCAGCGCAGAGCGAGGGGGAGCGCGATGCTCCCGGGTAGCGCCAGGTCCCTCCCTCCTCCCAACATCCCTCCTCCTCCTCCCTCCTCCCAGCCTCCCGTTCCCACCGAGCGCGGGGCTCCCCCCGCCGCTCCCGCTGCCCGCGGCGCGGGGCTCGGCTGCGGGGCCGGGGCTGCCCCGCTGCCCGCCCCGGGGCTGCCCCCGCCGCGCTCGGGCTCCGCGGGCGGATGGACCGGCGGCGGCGGCTGCGGGGTGAGTCCGCCCGGCGCGGACACGCGTGGGCTGCGAGACGGCGGCGGAAAGCGGCGGGGCGGACGCGGGTGGGGTGCGCGGCGGGGGGACATGCGTGGGCCGAGCGGGCGGGGGTCCGGGACACGTGTGAGCAGCGGGGATGGGGGTCATGGACACGCGTGGGCCGTTCCCGAAGGGACGCGGGGTCCCTGGATGCGCACGGGCTGTGAGTGTGGAAGGAGGCTGCAGTTGGGGGTTGGGGTCCCGCACTCGGTGGGGTTGGGGTCTGCGTGTGGGTCAGTCCCGCACACGAACGGGCTGCAGGCGCAGCGGGGCTCGGGGGTCCTGGAGGCGCGGGGGCTGTGTGTGCGTGGAGGGCTGCGGGATCGCGGGTGCGAGCCCCGCGTGGGCTGCGTGACGAGTGGGGCTGGGGGCTCAGCCTTCCCCGGCACCCCGTGTTCCCCTGCAGCACCCAGGCACGGCGATGGGGTCCCTTTTCTCCCACCTGGCGCCCTGAGCCGCTTGCTCTCGGCTCGCAGCCACCTCCAGCCTGTAAATCATTTGCTTTTATGATCCCTCCTCCGGCCCATTATCACACGAACTTTATATGTTTGGGGCTGGTGGTGGCCATAAAGCTTGCCCGGTTTCCGGGGCTGGCATGCCCGCCTGGCAGGCAGGGTGTGAGGAGGAGGAGGAGGCTGGGGGGACGCTGCCCCGGGGCCCCYCGGCCGGGCAGGTAGGCAGGGAGGGCTGCAGCAGAGCCCCGGGGATGCTCAGCCCAGGAATGGGGACTGATGGCAGCTCTGGAATCAGGGCTGCAACGGGGAGGGCTGGGAGCGAGTGGGGGGCACTGGGCTATCCTGGGGTGGGGGCGGAGGAAGAAGTGGAGTCCCAGCTCTGGTCATTCAGTCCATCTGGAGAACGCACAGATCCTCTGGTCAGCTCCCCTCGGCTCCACGTGCCTCTCCCCAGCCGGTGAGTCCGGGTCCATGTCTGATCCCCGCCCCGGGCTATCACAGGTCCGGGGGCATTCGGGCCCTGATCCAGTGCTGGGGGTGCTCCCACGATGCTGTGTCCCAGGCCCGGGGTGTGCAGTACAGCCGATGGCCGGGTGTGGAGTGTCTGGTACAGCCGATGGCCAGCTCTGCTCTGTCCGTGTCCCCAGGGTTCCTCCKCATGCTGTCTCACCTTGTGCCTCCGAGCTCCAGGTGTTTGGAGGATTGGGGGTGCCTGTACTGGACACTTTGTACTTTGGCTGCCCTTACCTGCCAGCTCCACTGCTCCACGGCAGCAGGACCCTCTGTGGGGTCTCTCCCCTCAGGGCTCGCCGTGGTTCCAGCCCCTCCCAGGACTCTCACGGGGGTCTCACTGGCTGAGACCGAATGCCAAAGCACCAAGCACTGGTGAGTGGCGATGGACACCCAGGGGCGAGCAGCTGCTCCCGGGGTGGAACCATCGTCCCCTGAACAATCCCACTCTGATGGGATCTGGGTGGTGAGGGATGTGRGGATGCACCGAGGCTGCTCCCTGCTCCCCTCTGCATGGTCCCAGCTGCAGGCTGAGATGGGTCATCCCTCCTCAAGAGTCCAGGGGGCTTCAGGTGCCCAGCCTGTGCTTCAGTAAGACCCTCGCAGGTGAGGAGCTCAGTGGCAGCAGGTGACAGCCAGGAGAGCTTTGCCTCTGGCTTGTTCCCATCGCAGCAAGGTGCTCACAAACCTTCCCCGGGGCAGCTCCTAATTCAACTTGGTATTGCTGGGAAAGAAATGGGTGCCCAAATCACTTCTGGGTGTCCTGGGTGAGCGACTTCTCACTGTCTGCATGTCCCCGATTGGGGAATCGCACAGAGGGAGAAAAACCCCAAATCTGAGCAGATCAGTTGCCTTTTCTTTCCGGGGAGGGGGATGGGAGGGGAGAGATCTTGCTTGAACAGTCAAAGTAAGTTGCCTTTGCTTTTCGCTGCTCCTCAAGGTCAGCCTGGCTAATGAAAATCAATCTTCCCTCTGCCTCTCTCTGCTGCATGAGCAGATTCTACCTGTGGCCCCTTCACCCAATTGAAAGCGGCGGCCGCCCCGTCCTGCTGAGCGTGGGCAACACCGGAGGGAGCTTCCTCTGGGAACAGCATCTTCCCAYGGGCCCAGGCACCACCACAATACCTGTGTCACTGAGGGATCGCAGCTGGGATCAGCCAACACGCAATGGCTCTGTCCCTGGGAAGCTGGCTGTGCACGGGAAGCATGGATCCCCTATGGAAATCTGGGCTGGAAGTGCTGGGAGGGAAGCTCGTGGCTGGGCTCTGGCATGCAATGAGCSGTGTCCATCCTCTGGGCACTTCTGGGCAGCTCCGTGTGCAGGTGGCCAGAGTGGGAGGTTTGTGTCTCCCTCATTGCCAGGATGGGAGCTGTCCCAGGGCTCTCTGTGCCTGTTGGTCCCTCTCCTCTCCCAGCCCCACCAAGGGGCCCCGATGAGGTGTGGCACACGAGGGTTTGGAGAGGGAGGCGGTGCCATGGGGTCAAACTCACCAGGAAGGGGAGCGGTGGGACATGGGGTCCTTGCTGCCCCATCCCACGGCCCTCAGGAATGCTGATGTTACTGGGCATGCCAGGCTCTGCTGCCAGCACTGCCACTCGGGAAGGGCCATTTCCTGAAAACAACAGCAAAGGGCACGGTAGGGTGGTGTGAGGGGCACTGTGGGGTTTGCCTGTGCCAAGACTGCCTTCCCTCATGTCTGGGCCAGGTCTGAAGGGAAACCTGCTGTGGCTCCTGGGCTGTGGATGGGGCAATGGCATGCTGCARTCCACCAGGACTTGGAGTCTGTGGGATAGTCTGGTCCTTGGCCAAGTGTGGGGCTCATTAGTTGCATTTTCTTCTCAGGAAATATTCAGAAAAGCTGTGGATGTGGCACCTGAGGACACGGTTAGGTGGTGAACGCGGTGGTRGTGCTAGGTTAATGGCTGGAATTGCTGATCTTAGAGGTCTTTTTCGTCCTTGAAGATTCCACAATTCTAATTTGTTACTGCTGCTCCTAAAGTGATCTGTGTTCAGATTACCCATCCCAGTGCTCCCAGTGTATGCAGGGAATGACAGCAGGAGGCTGCTCGGGGTGTGCTGGGAACCCCCAAAACAGAGCAAGGCCCCTGCTCCGAGGAAGGGGAGGATTCCCAGCTCTGTCGTGTCACTGCTTCCCATTTCCCCTACTCCGGAGAGGGCAGCACGTGCCCCTGGGGAAGGAGGAGGTGCTGGTCAGGGGTGAGAAATCCTCTGGCAGGACGAGAGGCTCAGAAGCATGGGGRGAGGCTGTGCCCGCCGGGTCGAGGGGCAGATCCGACAGCCCTTCCCTTGGGAGGTGTCCAGCCTGAGTATTCCCAGGCACAGAAATACTCCGGGTCTGGCTGTTGGAAATCCTTTCATTTGGAGCTCTCCAGCCAGCCCGTGCGTCCTGCTTCACTCCAGCGGGRGGTGTCCCCGCCCATGGCAGGGGGCTGGAATGAGACGAGCTTTGAGGTCCCTTCCATCCCAATCCAGTCTGTGAGTCAATGATTTGGATGGATGGATCATGTGACGGGAATATTTTCTCTCTTCCTGCCCCATCCTTTAGGATTTTTAGATGTGCCCTGATGCCGCAGGGTCTCCCGGCTCCTGGAAATGCAGCTCTCTTCCAGCGTGGCTGAACTCAGCTGTGACGAGACCATGGACCCACCCGCYGAGGACTTACAGCAGGTGCTGTCCATCGACCAAATCCGCTCCATCCGCGCCAGCAACAACTACGTGGAGAGGCCGGCAGCGTGCTGCCAGCAAGCCCGCTCCAACCCCTCGCTGTCCCAGCCCCCGCACAAGCAGGAGTGGTCCCAGGACCGCCTGGCGTCTTCCACCTTCCAGGACTTGCACCGCAGCCACAGCCAGCAGCATCAGATGCCGCCTCTGCAGCCRCACCTGAGCCACTCGAGCACGGCCAGCTCGGTGTCGCAGAGCACCACGGCCTCGGACCAGCGCCTGCTGAGCAGCCTGACGCCGTCGCACTCCGGGCACTCACTGATCCGGACGCAGCCCYGCGGCGGTGAGCTGAAGGCGGAGGAGTCGCCGCTCAAGGGGAGCTCGGAGAAGCCGGCGGCGCACGGGCACCTGCTGCTGTGCGAGGTGTGCGGGCGCTGCAAGTGTGCRCGGTGCACGGCTGCCCGCAGCCTGCCCTCCTGCTGGCTCTGCAACCAGCGCTGCCTCTGCTCCGCCGAGAGCCTCCTTGACTACGGGACCTGCCTGTGCTGCGTCAAGGGGCTCTTCTACCACTGCTCCACGGACGACGAGGACACCTGCGCCGACGACCCCTGCTCCTGCGGGCCAGGCTCCTGCTGCGCCCGCTGGGCTGCCATGAGCGTCCTGTCCCTCCTCATGCCCTGCCTCTGCTGCTACTTTCCCACCCTCGGGTGCCTCAAACTTTGCCAGCGGGGTTATGATGGCCTGAAACGCCCCGGCTGCCGCTGCCAGAGCCACACCAAYACGGTCTGCAGAAAGATCTCCTCCTCCAGCGGCACGCCCTTCCCCAAAACGCTGGACAAGCCGGTATGAGCCTCCCGAGAAGGAGAAGCGGGCTTTGCTCCTCTTCCTTCCTCTCCTCCTCCTTTTCTCTTCCCTTCTCTTCTCCATCCCCCTTGTCTCTTGGCTCCCTCCGCTCTGCAGCGTTCTCCCTTACCCACCATCACCCTCCGGGATTGAGACGGGTGACCCGGGGGTTCCCCCGGGGCTGGGCAGCTGGGGCAGYCGGCCTCAAGGTGGGGGGTCACAGTGGTTTTGCACATGTGGGAGAGAGGCAGGAGAGGCAGAGTGAGCTGAGGGTACTCTCCCAGGCTGTGTCCCCCAGGGAAAGGTGACCCGCAGGATCCTTGGGACTCTGCCCCCTGGGCTGGGTGACCCGAGGCTCCCAGGGCTATGCTCCCAGCAGGTTTAGGAGCTGCCCCATAGTGTGGTCCTTATCCGTGGGGGGMGGAGACAGGTCAGTGCATCCCTGTGCAAGAGCCCCTCGGGAGTAAGACCTCCGCCTCTCACTCTTCTTCTCCAGCACTTTCCGTGGGTGGCCTTTGGCCTTTCAGGTGGCCATAGGTCCCTTTCCCCAAGGGGCTGGGGTGCCGAGTGGTGTCACCAGTGGCAGTGGCTTCCCTCCAGGCTTGGAAGCCGCTGGGAGAAGTGAGCGAGCTCCAAGATGAGGTGGCACCGTGTTTTTCTGTCTCAAAGAGGAAGAGAAGGTGTGGGAAGCTTTAGAAACCTTCTGGCAGGGGAAGGATCTATCAGAGGCAGCCCAGCCCACTTGCTCCTGCCCGACTGCAGCAAGGGAAAGGTCCTCTCTGGGATTTGGCTGAGAAAAAGGAGCTGCTTGGAAATTGCCATTCATTTCTCCAGGCCTTGGAGGGCTGCCTGAGGTGGGAGCTGCCGCCTGGCTCCATCCCACCGCCCAGCAGATGCCACAGGCGCTCCGTGCTCACACCCCGATCTGGTACCTTCCACCAGCACTGAATTCACTTTTAAAAAATACAGCAAAGCCAACTGTGAGCAGCCACCACTCCAGGGACTTCCCTCCAGGGGCTTCTGTCACCCTGSATTGGGCTGGAGGACACGGAGAGCATGAGGGGCTGTCGAAATTGGGGACCCCGACCTTCCCTCCCTGCGAAGTTTCCTTTGAGCCCTCACCTCACTGAGGGGGTTCTGCCACCCATGGACAACCGGGAATGGGGCTGGAGCAAGCCCTGGGGTTGGGCCATCTGCACAGTAGACGGACACTGGAATCCCGGTCAGGGCTCTGCGCTGCCTTGCTGGGATCATAATGAGCCCAACTGGCTGCTGTGGCTGGGGGTCTCCTGGTGGTCCTGAACTTGGCCCCATCTCCGTGTGGTGCCAGCTCCTGGCTGTGACCCCGCTGGTGTCGTTTGGAGCAGTTTGGAGCCAGGATGGTGTCCTGGAGCTCGGCTCTGCCTGTTTGTTCCCCCTCCCAGGTGCGAGAGCACAGAGAGAAGGGGATGSTTCCCCTGGAGAAATATATGCAACACATCCCTTGGCTTCTCCCAGACCCAGCTCCTGGGGCTCATCTGTTGCCTCTTCCCAGCCACCTCTTTCCATAGAGTTCTGTGGATCTATTTTTGTATATATAAATATAACGTTAGGATGGGTAGGTCTGTTCCTAGTAATATTCATGATACTGCTGTGAACGSTGCCAGGTACAAGGTTGGGCTTCCTGGTGCACTTGCACATGCTGGAAAAGATGATTTCCCGGTCAGTTCATTGCTAGTCCCAGCCCCTTGGTTCCTAGACCATCGGGAGAGGGGGAAAGGGAGGTGTACGGATTGTCTGGGGRCGACTGCTCTGCGTGGAGGGTGGGATTCAGTGCTGGCTGTGAGGTGAGGCAGAGGTGCAATTCACTGTGGGATTCCTCTTTCCATCCATTTGCTTTCTAAAAACCGTGGTGGATCCAAGCTCCCTGTGCTGCGGGGAGAAGCGGTTCCAGGGAGTGATTCATCCTGCTTGGAAGCATTATTCATGAAATCCTGTGCTGGCAATGCCTGGCTCCCTTGATTCAAATGGCACCCAAACATTGAACTCGAGGTTCCCCGGGGAAGGGGGTATGAATCCCACCCCTGGTGGGAAGTTTGTGGTGGAGGATGTTATGGATGTGAGTGAAATCCTCTCCCTGATTTTTCTCAGAGCCTGTGGAAGGATCTGTGGGTATCTCAGGATGGTGCTCCGGGATGCAAAGGGATCTCCTGGCATTAGGAAGGGACAGAGCCCGTTGGCACATTGTGTATCTCTGAGGCCAGCCTGGGCTCTGGAATCATTTGGATTTTGAGGCCGTGACCTTGTCGGAGGGTGCCCTGTGGGTGTGTGAATCCCTCTGAGACCAGGCCACACCCCCACAGCAGCAAACATAAAATACATTGCAAATCCATTTATCCATATGTCAATAACTGCTTGGCTTCCTTCTTCCAGGCCATGTTGTGGGGAGACACTTCCACCAGGAGTCTCCTTCCTTTGGAAGGCTCAGTTCACTCTTCTATTGGTGCTGATTAAACTCCTTCTTCATAAAAACCAGAAAGCATTTTTAGGGAGAAAAGGTCCCTTTTTCCCTGCTGGTTGGAGGAACCGTCTCCCTTGAATGAGAATGTGAAACAGTTCATTGAAACTTTTTAAAGAAAACTAATGAACAGAATTTTCCAACTTGCTCTACTTTGATTTTTTTTTCTCCTCCTTTTTAAACGGATCCCACTTGTAAATTTAGTTACCACCTCTGTATCTTTGCAATTCATTGCTTCCTCTCCTGATGGTGGAATGACTCAACATGTGAAGCTTCATCATTTTCACGGCCTCCCGAGTCATGCGAGCGCGGGGTGACCTCCCCCAGGTGCTGGAGCTGGGGGATGAGGAGAAGGCTGCCCATGGCTCAGCTCCCCCGAGCCAGCCCGGCTTGGCATGGCCACTGCAGCACAGCTCCCTTCAGGAACTGGGGTGAGGCCAGGACTGCCAGGAGCCTTCCACCTAATGGGCTTTATCTGGGTCAGTGCAGGAGCTCCCCTCCTACCAGGGAATGGTGCCACAGCCTGGTGAAGGCTGAGGAGCACAGCCAGGGCTCCAGAATGTCTCCTCTCCACAGAACGACAAACCTGGGAGATACATTTGATGAAATGCTGGATGTGTAGGAGGGGAGGGATTTAAAAGCCATGGAGATGTGGCACTGAGGGCCACAGCTTAGTGCCGTCTTGGCAGTGCTCAGTTAATGTTTGGACTCGGTGGTCTTAGAGGGCTTTTCCAACAGAAATGATTCCATGATTCCAGAAGGTAGGGAGGAAGAGAGCCCTGCTGGGCACTGAGGGCTGTAGGACCAGAACAGGGCATTGTTTTCATGGAGGGCAGACAGGAAGCCATACCCAGAACCTGTGGGGGCTGGACCATTTCCACCTGCTGGTCTCTGCCCTGRTGAGGGCAGGAGACTTTACCTGTAATTCCTGCTTCCCGTTCCACCTGCGGGTGCTCAACATTCCCCTTCCTCGCCCYCAGTAGTCAGGAGAGGCTGGGAAGCACCAAAGCACTCTAAGGAGAAGAATCCAAAGCTTTGGTTCACTGAGCTCCTCTGTGGTGGGGAAGGCTGTGGGCAGCCTCAGATTATTTCCTAAGCTTTTGCTCACCCGCTCTGAGCAGACCCATCCCGCTCCATCCCCACCTCCAGCTGCCAGGCGCTTYGGTTTGCTGTGGAGAGGCCCCCGGTGCTGCTTGGGGTTGGGAGCCCCTTTCCTGCCCCACCCTCTGTGAGTCAGATCCCATCTGCTCGGGGTGTTTGTTTGCAGCTGCTTGTCCCGGCAGTTGGGCTTTCTCTCTGTCCTGACGTGTCTTTTTTGGTTTTCTTTTGGGAGCGTCACATGCGGATCCCTCTGCTCTCGCACAGGGATGGATCTGCCTTGTGAGGGAACGCTCCTGGATTGTTGTCTTTTCTTTGCCAGGGAATGTACAGGGCTGGGGGCAGATTTAGGCAGGGAAAGAGAATTCAAAGGTGCCAAAGGAGCAGGAGGCAGGACCTGCTGAGCAGGACCAGAGCTCTCTCTGCTCTGTTSTCCATCCAGAGCCTCCTTTTCCCACCAGAAGTCCCAAGATCCATCCATGCCAGAGTCCTTGATGTTATTTGCTTCCTCCAAGGCTTCCCTTGGTGCCATTCTCTTCTTTCCCCATTGGCAAATCAGTCCCAGAACTGGTGGGGAGAGGTCATGGAGGGGTCTGGAGGGTCCCTCCCACCCCACCCCACTGATCCCTCCTGCTGGAAGGGCCAGAGAGGTCCTTGGGCTGCTGTCCACCCATCACTGAGAAACACCAGTGCCTCAAGGAACAAGAGGGAGCTCTTTGTGATTCTCAGATTCCCATAAAGTCCCACTGATTTCACTCCTCCCCATCCCAAGGGTGAGCCCGAAGGCTGGAGGGCAAATGCCATTGACCAAAAGATGCCAAAGCCCGGAATAAGAGATTAGGAATGGCTCTGAAGTTTGGTGGAGAGGGGTAAGCTGTGGTGAAGGGGAGCTGCACAGGGAAGGAGCGCTCACTGTGCCCCAAACTCGCCATTCCCAGACCCCAYTGTCCCTCTGTTGCTGGGGTGTTTTGAGGCTGGAGAAGGCTGGGAGGTGTTCAGGAACTGAAGGTTTAATGTTTGTGACAGGGATGTGATAAGGGCTGACCCCCACCCCAAAGCTCATCCTTTAACGGGATCTGGTCGGGAGGCTTGGCTCCTCCGAGGAGCCTGTGGGATGCTGACTGGTCCAGGTGGGCCAAACCTGAGCTGGGAGCTCCTGGGGCTCTGTTTGCTTTGAGGGATTCCTCTGTGAGCRCCAGGATCTCTTGCAAACCCTCCCAGAGTCAGGCTGAAGCTGGGAGGTGGGATCTGTTCTGTTTGGGGTGACAACTGCAGAAGTGTCCCCGAGGGCAGAATCCCAGGATTCAGTGGAGGGGCACTGCAGGCAGGGGGAGGTTGGGTGGGTGGGAAGAGCTCACACCCCTCTGGGGCAGCAGGAACGTGCAAGGRAGGCAGCGCTGGTCCCTCTCCTGCTGCACCCAAAGGGCTCTGGCAGGGGCAGGAKCAATCCCACCTCGGGGAGCTGGGCCTGGCACAGGAGGCTCCACACCCTCTGCCCTTGCCCACTCCGTGCCTACCTTGCCCCCTTCCCCCATTCCACGGGGATGCTGTGCCGGCAGCGGCTCTGCATCCTCCTCCTCCTGCCCAGGTCCTCAGCACAAAACTCTCCTTGGAAGATCCACAGGAGAGCTCTGTCCCAGGACCCCAAGGCTCTCATCCCGAGGTTCTGGGCACACAGCCCTTCTGTACAGTGTGTAAAGATCCCTCCCCGCCTCTCCCCATTCCAGTTCCTTTCTATAAGGTATAATATATGTTTATAACCTGATGGCTGGTGTTTTTCTTTTTTTTTTTTTTTTTTTTTTTTTTNAAAAAAAAAAACAAAACAAAGTATTTATTTGAAAAGTTTATTTTAAAGATAAGAAAAAAATAACCTATTTATTTTACTGCACCCTCTTCTGTTTGGTTTTCTTCTCTTGTAAAGCTGATAACTGTTACAGAACCACTGCTGAGGTGAAAGAAGTGATTCTACGGGTGGCTTCACAAGACCACTTGGAGCAACTATTCAATAAAAATATATATTAATTTTGAACATGGTCTCGTTCTTGTCTCCATGGTTGATGGGGCACAGCTCAGGCTCTGTCTGGGGTGCTGGATTGCTGGGCAGGGACTGGGAGCTGAGGGGATCATCCTGAGTTCCATGAGGTCCCCCCGTGAGCCTTCTGATGCTCAAAGCTCCAGAATCCAGTGAATCCCTGATGCAGCTGTCCCTGATCCCTGTGGAAGGGCTGGCAAAGACAGGACCAAAGTGGGGGCGACTTAGGTCAGAAATCCCTGAGTTCCTGGGGTTCTCAGAAACCCCCCAGAGAAACCAAGGCACTCCCAAAGCCCCTCTCACTGCCACAAGAAGTGGGGGATGCCACAGGGCTATGGATGTCTTCTGCAGGAGCAGCTGAGYTGGGAGCTGGCTCCTTCCCCAGCTGAAGGCACCTGGGAGGTGGGTTTGGCCCAAGCAGGGAGGAATTTGGGCCACAGCCCAGCAGCTGCTGGGCTAGGCTGGTGCTGCTGCTCTGGGTGCTGTGATCCCAAAGCCCTGCCCCTGCAGAGCCCCGTTCTGCTCGGCCTGAGGGGCTCTCTGCTCAGCTGCAGCTCTTCTCTCACAGCTCGTGGGGCTTTATCCCAGCAGCTCCAGAGCACGGCRTCCTCTCACACAGCTTTGGTGCCTGATCAGTCCCAAGGTTAATGGCACCCCCTTATTCCTCTTTCATTTGCTGGCTGAACTCTTTCCCCTCCTGTAGTTCTCTCCTGGGATGGTTTCCCCAGGCCAGTCCTKTGCTGCAGAGCCTTCCCAACCCCTGGACCGAGTGAAAACCAAGCATTCCCCATGACTCCCACCACAAACCCTCTTCCCAGGCTGGCTTTCCCCATCTGTGGCATCGCTGGTGCTGGAGCCTGCTTTCCAAAATCCATTCCAATGCCTCATCCCCAGCATCCAGGATCTGCCTGGGGGCTCTGGAGCACAGATGTGAATCCAGTCCCTGCTGTGACTCACTCTTCCCCTGCTTTTCAAACAAAAGATGGCTCTGGGCCATGTGTCACCCATTGGCTCCTTTCAGTGCCAAAGTCCCTCTTTTTTGGACAGAGCCAACCACTTTCATTCCCAGATGTGCAGCTTTCTGTTAACTGTGTTAGAGCTCTATGGGTGCTTACAGTGCCACTTTCCCGAGCCTTCCCTGTCCTCTGAGCACCTCCTGGCACCTCTGAGTCTCTGTCTTGTGGTCCTGTGGAGGAAGGCTCAGGAGCTGACTTGCAGTGTGAGACACAGGCAGGTGACCTACACACCACGACAACCTGAAAAAAAATGTTAGTTGCTCACTTGGACATTTCCCTTCTGTAAAGAAAGTCATGATGGTCCCAGGAAGGACAAAAAGTCCTGCAAAAATGGGGCTTTCCCCTAAGATTTGGGTGATTCTTTGAACTGCACAGTGATTTTCTGTTTTGTGCCTGTGTGAGGATGAGGAGAGACTCCCCTGGCTCAAGCATCCAGTGGCACTGGCACCTGCCCCAGGTGAGCTGCTGAGCTGAGCCACCTGGAGGGCTAAATAAAACCTAGTTACTCTTGGCTGACACMGAGGTTATTCAGAGCTGAAATGTCCAGTTCTGCCCTGTCCAGGACCAGCTCAACTCCACAGAACCCTCCTGAGACATGGACAACGTTTTTCAGAAGTAGATATCCACAATTTTGGTGTTGAAATCTCCCCTTGCCCAGGGCAAGTGAAAGCCAGGCTGAGCTCAAAGCCCCCTGAGGATGCCCCGGTGTGATCCGGCCCCGTGCCCGCCCAGAGCATCCCTCGGCATCCTGGGGAGCAGCCAGGTGGCTCCAGGAGAGCAGGGGAAGGTGTTTGCAGTCGAGAGCTTGGCTGTCTAGACAAGAGAGAGAGAGGAGCCCTCTGAAGGAGTCATTCATCTCTTCCTAAGATGGCTAAATAGGTCAGATGACTCATGCCCTGAAAAGGCCGATYGCTCTGCGCTGACTGCAAAGAGGGAAGGAGCTCCCGCCGTCCCCGCAGGCACCGGAGGGGAGCAGACCCAGCCTGGCTGCTGTGGGGTCCCGTGGGGCAGCGGGGACCCCAGCCTGCCCTGGGATCCTCAGCGCTGCTGCCTTGGTGCTGGTGATGGGGAGATGGGGATGGATCAAACACCGGCGGGGCTCTGGTTCGGGCTGGAGCTGATGCCTGTAGGAGCTGTGCAGAGCTGGGACCAGGCCGAGGGTCACATCCAGGTTCCTGCTGTCACCCTYGGCTGTGGGGACCGTGGGACAGCAGTTGGGGCTGGAGGGGTTTGCAGAATCGTTTCTCCACCATCAGGAAGTTTCTTGCCTGGCCGTGGTTGTGCTCTGTGCAGGGCTGAGGGCACCTCTCTGCTCTCACACCTTTGGTTCCAGTGAGCCAAGGCTGCTCTGGGCAGACACAAGAGGCCATTCTGATATTGCCCCAACGCTGCTCAGAGCTGCCCAGTGAAGTTTCAGAATCCCTGCAGGCATCACAAGGTTGAGAGGGCAGCTCTGAGGGCAGCCAGGAGCTGTTGGAATATCCCAGATGAGAATTGCCCCCACAAAAGGGTGACCTGTGCTGGGACTGCAGCACTGGGGATGTGGGGGTTTGCTCCCTGCAGGAAGGAGGTCTCTGGCACCCCAAGGGTGGTGATGTGTACAAAAAGGACAATTTGTACCCCCAAAAACCCCAGATGCCTGTGGGTTTCAGCACTGCCTGGGTATCACAGAACCACCCTCTGGCTCAGCAAAACATCACGAGATTKGCTTAAAAATCAAGATGCAGCTCACAGCAGATTCTTGTTTCTCGCTGCCTCTTTTGGAGGCTGACTGAGTCATGCTCACAAGCCTCCTTTGCCAGACACCGGGGCTGGCAGCTCCCCGGAGCCGTGCAGTGAGCACAGGATCCTCCTGCGGGCTGAGAGTGGGGCTGGGGGTGGCAGCTGGGGCCAGGGACAGCCTGGGTACCCCGGGCACAGGGACAGCCTGGGCACCCCTTGTTTAGGGACAGCCTGGGCACCCCGGGCACAGGGACAGCCTGGGCACCCCTTGTTTAGGGACAGCCTGGGCACCCCTGGCACACGCCAGGGGCTGCAGGGAATGGCCAGGGATCTTAAACCAGGACTGATGCCCAAACCCAGCAGGGGTGGCAGGTCCATCTTCTCATTTCAGTCTGGTCACTGATGGGCTCCTTCCTGCGGCCSCCTCGCTTTGGCCTGGGCAGCTGCCAATGTCCAAAGCACAGGGCTGATGGTCACACTGGAGTCCGGCCATGCCTCAGCATCTGGATGAACATTTCAAAGCCCTCCACTGGTGTCTGAAGCAGGAATGTTCTCCCCTGGCTGCARACCCCCTCACCAGGGTGCTCTCTGGCCTCCCTTCTCTCCCTGTTCTGCTCCTGGGATGCACCTGAGGTTGAGGAGATTTTTTCAAGGCACATCCAGAACAAAAKTGTTTTCCTGACGTGGAACCCAAGATCCTCCTGGGGAGCTTCTAAAGGATTTATTTCCTGTACCCACTTCCCCCGTGCCTTGCTGCTCTCAGTGAGGACATTGCATGGAACAGTAGGATCTCAGTCTTTTGATGTGCAATTATCATCTGCAGAAATGACTAATCAATTAAGGACAGTCACTCCCAGGCTTTCTATTTGTTTCTTTCTCATTGAAACCAGAGCAAATGTGCCCTTTTTTCACGGGGAAATGGTGTTTTTTTTCCAGACGTGGCTGCCGAAAACTTCCCAGCGGATCTGAAAATGACATCATGCCCTTCTCGGTCCCCACTGTTGTCACCGTCAGTGCTGAGCTGGCCCTGCTGCTGACAGCAAGCCCCTGCCACCAGCCCTGCCAGCTCAGCGGTGCCAGCGGGAGTGGGGACATGCCAGCAATGGCTCAGGTCACGCCTGGGAGCAGCTCGGGCAGGTAAAAAGGACCCAGAGGGAATGCAGGAGTGGAGACACTTCACCTTAAAGGTGGCAAACCCTGAGGGGAGAGAGGGACTCTGTGAGGACACGGAACAACAGGACACGGGGAATGGCTTTGAGCGGCTGGAGGGCAGGGATRGATGGGATATTGGGAAGGAACTTTTCCTCGTCAGGATGGGGAGGCCCTGGCACAGGGTGCCCAGAGAATCTGTAGCTGCCCCTGGACCCCTGGGAGTGTTCCAGGTTGGAGCAGCCTGGGACAGTGGAAGGTGGGGAATAGGATGGGATGAGCTTTAAGGACCCTTCCAACCAAACCATTCTGGGATTGGAGGAGAGAGTTCATCGAGGCATGAGCCTGGGCTCAAACCACAGCTCTGGGCTTCCCAGAGGCACATGGGAATTTGGATTTGAAGGGTTCAGCCCATCTTTAATCACTAAATGTGGCGTGGGATTCTCTGGCAACAGGCAGGAGTGCTTGGCTGCCTCTCGCAGAGACAGCTGGTGACAGTGGTGTGTCCTCCTGTCAGGAGGACTGCTCCCACTGCTGCGGTGATCCAGCATCGGGGTGGGCACAGAGAAATGGGCCAGGAGCTCCTGRATTTGCCCCCTCACCCAGCCTGCGCTGCCTGAGAGGATTCCCCACGGAAGCAGAGACACAACCATCCCTGCTCCAGCTCTCTGTGAGCATGTGGACACCTGAGCAGGCTCCCAGAGTGGCTGTGGCTGCTCCTGGATCCCTGGAAGCGTCCCAGGCCAGGTTGGACGAGGCTTGGAACAAACACCCTGGGCTCATGGAAGTTGTCCCTGCCCATGGCAGGTGGTGGAATGAGATGAACTTCAAAATCCCTTCCAACCAACCCAACCCAACCCAACCCAACCCAACCCAACCC